TGAATATTGGTCTCAAGCGTGGTCTAAATCGAAACAGAAGGAACTCGATAGAGAGATGAAACGGAAGCTAGCGATTACCTGCTAAACAAAGAGAAATGAGGCAAAGAAGGATGACGAACAAACGAACTCTTCCTGAAGCCATTTTGAATGATGACCTCTTCTCACTTCTCTTTAGGTTATGACTGTAGAGTTGGTCGTGAAAATTTTGCGCAAAATCCCATCCTATATGTGCTATTGGAGCACCGCCATCATAGCCGCTTTACATATATGGAAATTGAAATGAGATATCAATTGCCATGTACAAAGCTCCGGGGGTCCATCTTATGGCAAAATGAATCTACAATCAGATATCAATTGCCATATGATGATAATGATAATAACGAAGAGGGAAGAATTCATCTACTTCTCGCGGGCGCGTCTGTGAGGAATGAAGATGACGGACCCCATTTTTTGCTGAACGACCGAGGAAGGCTTCTAGAATGGGTTGGAGACAAATTTCATGCACACTGATGGGTATAACAGAAAAAGGGAATTGGTTATCTCGGCCGCAAGTAGGGGCTGATCGTAGTGCCAGATGCAGAGAAGAAGGGAAGATCAGTTGGGATCGATCGGAAGAAAGATAAACTGAAGTTCTCGGATCGGAGGGGGCCAGAGGTACACACATTCGGCCACGAAAATTCTGGGAAGCTCTCTGGGATTCTCGTTTTTTTTTTAACTCACCGAGGAGAGTCGGCCGGAAGTTGCCATTCGTTTCCGATCACCGGCCACCGCCGCATCACCAGGGGAGACATCAGCCACAGCTTTTCGTGATCAGGAGGAAGGATTGAACAGTGATTTCCGGCGTCTCCGTCTTCGTCAACCCTGATTCCGATGACTTATTCTCGCCGCACGAACCAGGTAAAACCTCTCTCTTTTGTACTCTGTTTTGCTCTGTTTTCTTATAGAAAGGCAGCCGAGAGTCCAATTCTCTGAATAGGATCAAACTGGGATGAAACCGACTATATGAGAGACTTTTTCTCCGATTTAGAGTGTCATATGTTCATCTAGTTCGAGTTCAATCGCATGCTATTTCTGTCGGAATTTAAATTCACGATATTCCAATTAGGAAATGAATTTAATCATACGAGTCAAACAATGTTCAAATGCAAATCTAATTAACGAATGAATCCGTCATTTTCATGCTAATTCAATCCAAAAAGTCTATTCAATCATTGCGGTTCAAGATTTCCTGGCAAAAGTATTACTTCAATGTAGAAATCCCAATTTTGAAAGATTGAAGGAGTCGGTTTTATCAAATTAAATTTCATTTTTCTCCTTTAAAATATGTAAAAAAAGTATTTATATACATGGGGCCTCGCTTCACGGACCACCGGCTCTCAAGATCTCCACTTCTCTAGTCCATTTGAATTGATCTCCTCTATATATATGGAGATGGGTTCAGCTTTATTTAATAGGGTTTCTAAATAATTACATATAATATTCAATAGAATGACGATCTATTTTATTTTCTATAAAAAATATACATTTATTTCAATATCATAAGAACGTTTTTTTCTAATTTGGGGATCTATTTTTAAAGCGTGTCGCCTACAACATGCAATTTTTGAGAGAGAGAACCTTGCTCATGAAAGGCAAGAAAAACAGCAAAGACAAGAGAGACTTCAAATAAGAAAGATTTTCAATTCAAGTGAGCTAAAATTTCAAGTATGAGAGCTTAGAGAGAACTTACCATGCTTGGAAATTATCAGATTGAAGCTTATTTATAGGAAAATGAAATGATTCATAGTGGGACATGAGGTGAAGGGTATCCAAAATGATGGACAAGGCCGGAAAAATGATGTGCAAGGTTAAAAGGTACACAAAACCGGGGCCAAAATGACCACCCCGCCCTCAAACACATTAATGGAGAATTCCTTAGAGCCCGTTTGGTATATCTGTGGTTGAATTGTAATTATGCTATGAAATGATGTAACACATGTTTTAAAGTTGGATGGGACAGATTCTCGACAGATGTTGTGAACTGTTGCAGCTTTGGATAGATTGTACTTGTTGAGGTGTTTACAAAAACGTTTTTAAAAAGTTACAACACCCCTTTTCACAGCTGAAACCGTTGCAAGAAAGTTGAACTGAATAGCCTCTTACCTAAACAAGAACATGGAGGCTGAAATTGACAAAGCAATGATATTTTTACATCTTGCTACTCTATAAAGAGCGGGAGGGTCTTGAATCAACAAAAGATACACCTCACATTTCATTTTTGAATGTTTAAAAATGAAAATATCAACATGGAAACTATCATCTCGTTTGAGGAAAAAAACAGGAGCTCTATCACCATCTCATGTGTACATTAAGACATTCTTGACCTGAAAGGAAGCACGTGAAGCCTTCATAGATCCGTTCTGCGATTGAATTTTTATCGAATAACAAAATTTGCAAGTACTTCTCTCATTAGTAACCGAATTTGGGGCAACTAAATAGAGGGAGGAGGGAAGGGCACTTGAGGAGTGACAAAATTTATGGGGGAGAGAGAGAGAGAGAGAAAGGAAGATTGCCCTCTGGTCCATTTAAACTTGTATATTTTGGCCTCTCCTTATAATTTACGAGCAATTGTTACTCAAAATACCGTATAAAGATCTCAACAAAAAATTCTCTAGAGAGAGATGTACTTAGAAACCAAGAGTTTCGCTGCCATTTTCGACCGCCCGTTGGTCATTTATGGCCTTCCATCCATTCCCCGCAGTAGGGATCTCGCTTCCGATGTCATCGATCATCACCTTCGACTTGTTCATGCTCTAAGGAGCAATTGGGGCCTGTACGCTTGAGTGAAGTGTCTTCTTGTCGGTCGACAGGAGGAAGATCGGTGTTAGTCGGTCTAAAAGGTGCTCCAAGGAGGACAGTGATTCGAGGGGATGGGCAGTGGCTGGGGTCTTGGCTCGGGTTAGACCCGATGTCTTATGAGATCCGTCGACGATGGCTTACTGACATCAAAATCCATTCAAGCTGTGCATGCTATAGCTTTCTTTTCATTTTGTGTATAGATTTAGTGTATGTTCAAAATCATCTTCGGATTGATCGTAAACTGACTTTGTCATTTTGAATAGCAAAGCCACAAAGAACTTCTTGGCTTCTTTTCGACATGGTCTCTTATGTTGAAAATATATCTTGAGTTTAAGTCCAAATCAAAAATCTAAATTTTAGAAATAATAAAAAAAAAGAATTCAAAACAAAGTTTCGGAAATTAGCTTTTCGAATGTGAGATGGAGTCTCCGTCCGTTGCAAAAGGAAAGTCTAATTGCGTCAAAGAAAGGATGGAAACACTACTTGAATCCGGCCCAGGAAAAGTCAAAAGAGGAAAGTCCAAACTTTGACTGGTTGATCGAATAACATGATTTCCTAATCCATGTTGACGTGGGCTTCTGAAGGTGTTTTCTTTTGGCTATAAATATACTCAGTAGGCACTTTGGGCAGTGGTTGTTGATGAATACGTGAAGTTATTCTTGAAGTGCCGCTTGTGTGCAAGTGCTTGGTGGTGGGCAATTTTCGTGGTTTTGTTTGTGGAATTACACAAAAAATTTAAGTGTTTGTAGCGATTAAATCTTGTGATAAGATTTGTGTATAAATCATTTACGAGATTGAGAGATTATTTCGTGAGGAATTATGAGGTTAAACACTGCATTAGCTATTGAGTCTAATTTGGGCTTGAGAAATATTTAGAGTGTTTGAGTAACTCGAGTATGGTTGTAATCTCCGTTGTATCGCTTGATCTACAGTGGAATTCCGTACTGCTCTTCCAGTCAACGTAGGTCACTACGATCAAACTACGTAAATCTGGTATCTGATTTATTTTCTTATTCTGTTAATTTCAATGTTCGATCGCTTGGCTTCTGTAACATCTCCCAACATCTTCCGATGGTTAGTTTTCATCCTACGGACATATTAGTCCACATGCTCTCCAAAGATTATTCAAAAGATAGCTGGTGTACCGGTAATCTTTGGGAAGCCACTTCGTTGACTGCGGGTTTTGCCGAAACTAGGCAACTCCCCTTAGCGCCTTCCATGAACGAATCTTCCATCTCATTCCACGTGCTACAAGTTCGACCATTGTCCTCTACGTCGTTGTACACGAGCTTAGCAAGCACTGTTTTGTCTAAACATCCCGTCCTAATTATTATGGTAGGGCATGCAATCCAAACCGGCTCAGCACACTCTCTACGATGTTAAGAAGGACCGATTCGGCCATTTTCTTTTTTTTCCATTGGAAAAACAGTAGGGGGTATCCAGAGAGCTTCATGAACCGCAAACAATGAATGCCAATCGTCCCTCGTCTTTGGCTAAAGATCATAATGGCTATACTAAAAACCGTTCCAACTAAATGGATCATTATGTTTTATAAGCAATGGACCGAACATTACGGTTTTAATATGGTACGACTCGACCATTGGTTCTTCTAGGACATGGCTTTATGGTTATCTTTCTGTTTTCTCATGTCACGGTGAAAACCGGTTGGGCCGAATCTACGGACCGAGCCCCCTCAACCTCATTCTCGTCTTCAGGATGTCCCATTTGAGCAGTTCTGGGCACTCTAGTGAAGTCATGAAAGCAACCGAGGAGGTGCTAAACTTATGAGGAACCATAGCATACACAATCATGAGTTCAAACAAAAATATGTGAGGGATTAAAATTGATAAAGGCTCTAAGCATAAAACAAAGATGTTATTGTCCATGCAATTAGCCTTCGTGCATTTATTTTCATAAGATTCAGTCCCACGAGCAAAAGGAAAAGAAAAACGTACTCTTCCTATGTGGAAGAGAAGTAAAACAGAATAAAAGTGAAAAAATATATATGATTTTCTAAATGCATTATGTCTCGGAAACTCTTTATATAATCTGGTGAAATAATCATAAAATGATCAAGCAACTAGCACTAAAATACCATAAATAAGATTTGATGGTGCAGCGTGATTTCACTAGCTGTCCATGAATGAAAGATATCTATCGCGCTAAGGATATTCAGACAAAGATAATGCTACAGTTGGTCTCATACAACACGAATACGGCGTTCTCTCCATAGAGAAATTTGCAATACAAACACAAATAAGGGATAAAGAACTACACTTATTCAAGGGGCAAAAGAAAAAGGTACAATATCAACGGCCATTCTTTTCATCCCTGAAAATGAAAGATATTGAGAGAGTAGTAGCTGAGTGCACGTCCATATGTTTGCGGAGACCCTCATGGCGTGGCAAACAGATTTGGGAGTTCATCTGCGGTCAAAAGGGAAAAATAAAAGAAATGAGCTTAGAGTATTTATAACATAATATTCTGGCACTGATTGCAGTGTCATGCGGATTAGTCATTCTTAGATTTCCTGCTACGAAAATATTTTTCAGTCATTACCAAAATTAATTTTTACATGGTTGTAAATTCCTTTGAATAGAAGCTGGTGTGGAAGGTTTCGCTTGTATAAAAACGTGTGGAAATTTTGGTTCTTACAAGTTTTCCTCAAAATTTTTGTTAAAACAAAATATCACGACTCCAAAGGTACATGTGTCCAATTGATTTACTATTGATAGGTTACATCGAAATGGAGGGTCCATATACAACCTCTATCTAATTCATTTGATGTACACAATTTGACTTTTTGTTAATTCAAAATACATGAAACTTTCGCAACATGTAAATATTAGCAAGCAGATATATATATATATATATATATATATATATATATATTCTTAAAGTTGAATAACATTTTAAATTTTAGCGAGAAAACAAAAAAATAGAAAAACCTTTTACTTTTGCTTAATTGGGAATAAACAAGCCCTGTAACTGTTGAGTTGAGGACCTATGTATTACTATCCTATGTCACTAGCTGGCAGACCCATGCTTCGCTCGGGCCATTTTTCACGACAAATTAATTTTTTTACAAATATTCAAGCCAGTGAGAAAAGGGCATCCTATTTTGTAGAAATATTCTTAGCCACTTAAATTCCCTCTTTTGCCATTTATGTTATATCTTAAAAAATAACGTGCGAGGGTGAATCGATGCATAGAAAAGTTCCAAAGGTGGCCCAGCAATTTTGGGATTTAGCTTTATGCTTTTTTGTCATATAAAGTACTATAAAAAAAATGAAAACAGTCTAGTTATAAAAAGTTGGACCACATCACCATAAAGAATCGTGAGCATTAGACATGTGCTACTATATTGATTTAAAAAAATTAATTGAAGACATTTCGATGGTTTTTTTTAATAAGATAGAGAAAATTATTTATTCTCAAATGGGAAAGTTAAATTAAAAGTGAATAGATTTCCCTATGCGTTAACTTTATTTGCGGATGTCTTTATTAAGTGTCTTGCCAATAAAGATTATCCCATATTTTTTCAAAATACATTATTTTGAGTAGCAATCTTCTCATGCTCTGCACGGAACTAGATTCACGGCATAGAAATGTTGTTTTTCGTTTTATTGTTTGAGTTAAAAGTTTTAGATAGTGTTACGAATTGAGTATGTAGTTTTAAGTATAAATCCAATGTTAAATGCAAACTTCAATGTTTTGATTAAATAGTAACTCAACTGAAGATCTACTGCTCGTTTCTTTGAGTTTAAGATATTATTTTTTTAATAAATTTGATTTGGTTAATTATTTTAAATATAACTATCTAATATTTAATTCCTTTTGCAATGTAATGACCTATATATTGTTGATTGTATCTTAGTAAATATTTTTTTTTCCATATCATTTTTTTTCTTTTTCTAAGCAGTACTTTAATTAAATTTCAATTCAATTGAAGAAATAAGTGAATCTCAATATATGGGTATGTTACATGTAAGAACAGAGAAGAAATAGATAGATCCGTACCTAATCCTCCGTCCATTGTACCTTTACACCATCAAGTTCAATTTGAGGAATGTGAGCGATTTTGGGCCAATCCTTGCCAGTTGTTGGTCGACATCTCTCGCTCAGTTCACCACAATCATCGATCCATAATTTTTTGAGGGCAGTGAGGGGCTGGATTTCTTGCGGCATAGACAATAAATTGGGACAATGGATCAAGTTAATAAATTTTAGACATGTATGATTGCGCAGCCATTCAGGTACAGCCACGAAGCTCAAGCATTGACTGATAGAGAAGGACTCCAAAGTGTGAGCAGATTCGTTAAAGCATTGGAGCAGCTCCATCACCTGTTCGGACTGTGATATTGACAACGCACGAAGATTAGAAGGAAAGTTGGACTTGTTCTCGTTGGTCAACACGAGCTTGCAATTACGAATTTCCAAGACCTCTAGGGCGATTAGTTCCCCAAAAGGCAGAGATATTGGTCTCCCACAATCTAAAATTATCAACCGTCGAAGGCGAGTTAGTCGGCAAGCACCTTCAAACAAAACTTCGAGATTTTGGCATCCTTCAAGGGCCAAAATTTGCAAATTTTCCAGGTACTGTATTCCACTTTTTTGCAGACTCTTTTGCTTTGTTGTAATGGATAGAAATGTAAGGCTGACGAGCCTCTTCATATTTTTGGGTAGATCACCTAGCTCTGAGCAACCATCGAGGGACAAGTTTTGTAAACTCTGCAGCTCACAAATGGTATCTGGAAGCTTCTTCAATCGCTTGTTGTCATGGAGTAATAACGTCCTCAAGTGCTTCAAGTTGCATATGGAACTCGGCAGCTCCTCAAAACTACCAGTCGCCAAATCCAGATACCATAAGTGGTTACACTTAGAGATGCATGTTCTAACAAACTCTCTAGTAATAACTTCATCATCAACGACAAAGGGAAATACTATTGCACGTAGCCTCTTTGAAGTTGGCTTCCTTAGAAAAGGTGGAACTCCATTGAAATTTGAGATTCCCTCTAACGAAGTGCTAGAGAATGAAACATACCGAACTCCTTCTGAAATTTCTGTAGTATTTAAGCCAACACTAGAGCAATCATGTTGTGCCACAATCGTTGCAAGAGAATGGACTAGATCGTGCATTTTAAAAAATAACATCGAGTCGAACTCTTGAACTTCTTGGATCAAAGATCTCTTCCACAACTCGTTGAGATACTCAACACCAACATCTTCCAATGATAGATCTTCCCCTGTTAAACTAATGAGTCCTAAACCCTTCCATAACCAAGCTAACTCATGGCTATTGATTTCACATGCTTTGCCAAGAAGAGATAATGTGGCAAAACATCGTTTTAAGTGGGACGGTAAATGATCATAGCTAAGCTTAAGTACCGGAAGAATGTCATTTTTTTCTGCCACTAACTTTCATGTCTCGCTATCTCTTATATGTGCCCAATGCCGTACTTCATCCTTTGTATAAACTAGACTCCCCAAAGTTTTCAAAAGGAGAGGAACTCCTTGACATTTAATGACAATGTCATTTCCAATGTCAAGGAGATCAAGACGTGGTTGCTTTTCCTTTTGATCGAACGCCCATTTTTTGAACATGGCCATGGAGTCTTCATGAGAAAGACCTTCTAGATTATGTGTTGGATGGGTACCCATTATAAAAGCGACTTTTGAATTGCGTGTTGTCACAATTATCTTGCTTCCACTAGCTCCTTCGATCAGCAAAGCTTTCAATTCTTCCCACCTACTACGATCATCGCTCCATACGTCATCCAAGACTAGCAGAAATTTCTTGTCTTTGATGGTGTTTCGCAGAAAGGTTTGTGATTGCTGAATATCAAGGTTACTCAAGCTTTGACCAGTTGCATCTTTGATGATACCGTCAATAGTTTTTTTTAAATCAAAGTCCTCAGGAACACACACCCATAGTCGCAACTCGAATTGCTCTTTCACACCGTCGTCATTGTAAACTAATTTAGCTAGGGTCGTCTTACCCAAACCTCCTATTCCAACAATAGGAATCACCGAGAGATTTTTGTCATTTGGCCGCATCAATATCTCAATTATCTTTTGTTTATCAACATCTCTTCCGATGACATCCAACTTGTTTATGAACGAATAAGTCATCTCTCGTGATCGCAAAGGCGCCACTCCACTGTCAGCACTCCGCACATTAAGATTGAATTGATCCTTTTCGATGGAAATTTTAGATAATGTCTCCCTAATCTCCTTGATCCTATGACTGATTTTTGCACGGAGTATTACCGGATTAGAGAGGGAAAAGAAGCGGTGTACCTTCTCTGAGATGCCCCCGTACCGACTGATTACCCGCTTTCGTAAGGCTTCACACTCGAGTTCATCGAGCACATCCTCCGCATCACACAACACGTGTCGAAGTCGACCTAGCCATTGTTGCAGGCGGTTGTTCTTCGCCTGTTGCTCCTCAGCATCTAACAGCACGGCTGTAATAGCAGCCAACGTATTTTTAAGCTCGCGGATCTGATCTTCGACGCTGTAAATTGCGACAGCTTCTTGGAACACCGGTGATGCTATCTTCCCCAGCACACCCTGTGCGATGCTGAAAAGGAGTGATTCAGCCATGCTAAGTTATGGGGAAATTGATTTCAGGCTATTTGGTTTTGAGACGAATAGAAGAGCACACTATGTCTTCCTTTTGTGAGTTAGCTGCTATGACGACGACTTCCTTACAGTTGGATGAAAGGAAGGTTCCTTCCTTACGAGCGGCCGGCAAGTCAACAGAAACGCGCTTTCTACCTTCCCTTTATCTTACCTAACCAGGAATGAAGACTTTCGGTTCCACCGATCAGATAGCTACCGTTCTGTCTTTTCCTTGAAAGAGTCGTCCCAAATAATTTGAGGAGAAAAAGGATGCGCTACCCAGATTCACCAACAAACGCGATAAACTGATACTAATTCTAAATTAAATTAACAACTAAATAGCATGCACAGTTTAATGATAATTCGATGCACCTTTGCTAAAATATTTTCATGAATTAGTTCACTGGCCATTACAAAATCAATTATAAGTATCGACTACTGTACTCTTTTCACAGTATCAAATGAACATGAACATTCCTTAGCAAAAAAAATTATATTTCAGGCTCTGTTTGGCTCACGGAACATAAATAATTCAGAAAACAATTTTTTTAAAACCGATCACTTGTACCGCTCGAAATAATTAGCCAGTGAAAAATATTTTCATTATCGGCAATAATTTGTCTGAATATTTTCGAAAATGATGAAAAATATTTTTCGTTCATTTATTTCTATAAATAATATAAGCGATCATTTCTAAAAAAATAATTTTTAAATAATTCATTTGCCTCGAAGCAAACGAAACTTTAGTCACAGATGTTCATGCCAAAAAGCCATTTTGCTTTCTGTTTTGCTATGACAACTAGGAAAAACATGCGCCAGCCAGCAAAGCCCTAATAAGTCTTTATTTTATCTCATTAAAATTACGCATGCAACAAATTTTATGTATATTAAATTTCCAATCAACTCATTCACTTATCCTCAAAATAACATTAACTCACAAAACCCGGACTCGCACTTCGCTGGAGAACGTCGTTCTCCGATGGGATTTGGAGGATGGAGGGGACGGGTTGATCAAGACTGTGGTGGATTTGCACGGCGACGAGGAAGAGAATTTGATCGATATCGACATTTTAGAATTTGATCGATATTGACATTTCTCCGGCTAGACAGTATCACAATTGATAGGTTATATTGGGCTTATCCATCAAATTGATGTTGAAATTTGAACGTGAATACGAAGATTTCGGATTCCATTTATTTATTGGGGATGAGAGAGTTTTTGAGAAATTGAAATCTGTGACAAGAGTGGAATCGGGTATTGCATACATCAACGGTCAAAGTGCGCACGTCGCCTGATCCAAAGGTCTGAAAATTGAGTTTACGTGGAATTATTGAAAATTCATTTTAATGGACAAAATGGGAAGGGACAACAAGGACTTTTCACGTATCAGTGGATGAGAGAGATCACGACATTGCACCGACTCATGAAGACCCGGCTCGCTTTGCCCCGCCCCGATAAGCCCTTGCGGGGCCCACCCCGTGTAAAGTTATATCTTTGTCACTTTAAGAATTAATACCACAAAAAATTCTAAATTACGTACACTACAACACAAATACCTTCAACTTTTTTTGTGTGTCACTAAAAACCAAAACTTGCCCGTTATGACACACGTACCCCAAAATTTTTTAATGTCATAAAAATCCCAAACTTATACTAAGGGGCAACGCCGGGTATATATTCGTGCGTAAAAGTTATATAATCCGGCCTTTAATTATTCTTCAATTTTATTATAAGTAAAATTTATTGAGGATTGACTTATAGATAAAATTAAAGTTAAAAAAAAAACTTTAACCCTTATAAAGGGACAAGAAATTGGATTGATAAAATAAAAGAAAATAACCTCCGATACGTCAAAATAATACCTTTTATCTAAGACATGAGATATATGTAACTATTTGATTATAATTGAATTTTATTACAAGTACATTTAAAGGATAAAAGGAGACTTTAAGCTAATAAATGGACACACAATGAATTGAAAATAGATAAACTTGTTATGTTAAAATGATAGTTCAAGATATAAAATAAACGAAAGTGCAAATTGTTCTATCAAATAAATGAGAATTACAATTGCAAAAGATGGACAAATGAGTGCCTTACCACCAGGAATCACATCTGTAACCGCCAACTAGGTGCGCGCATTAATGAATTTAAAGATGCTAAAGTGCAAACCTTGATTTTTATTCTTCCTTTCGAGATGTTTCGACAATTTTCCTTCATAAGACCAAAGAAATTCCAATGTTGAACCGAACCGAGCATAACCGAACATCTGATCTCCCTATTCCACCCCACTACAACCATTAGAACTGTTCGTTTTTAATAAGAAAAATTGGAGGAAAACGAAGCATCGGATGGACATAAGTCTATTCATCCAATGAAAACAATGCTTGGCCCACATGGCGACCAATTGAGAAACATCGAACCAATTTATGCCAAAAAAAAAATTGGTACAATCATATTATGTTGTCAAGCTTATTGATAATTGGGTGAACAAATTAATAGCTAGCTTATTCATTTTTCATTATTAATTTGCAATTGGAAATTTATGTCATAAATACATAGTCACCATGTCCATAACCTTACTACTGAATATATTAGTCCAATAAATGTGGGTAGTCCAAAGATGTACAATTGAGTCAAACTTGCATAAGAAAGTCGACACATCTTAATAAATTCATTCTACATTGTTTATCCAATGATCAATTTTTATGCTGCATATCTATCCATCTACATATAGAAAATGTGAAGGATACTGCTTGTCTTCTCTCCGGTGGCAAATTGTAATTTCGCCAATACAGATGTACGATTCTGGGCTTGTCTTGAGGCTTCTGTTCATCACTTGGACCCACAGATACCCCCACTCTCTCTCTCTCTCTCCTTTTTAACTTTTGTTTTTTTACGAGTCTATTATATTTTTTTTCATTTAATTCTGTATCAACATAATTATTTCGGGAGTCCTAGTATTGATCCGGTACTCGAGCCTTAAACTTTCAAATTGTACAATTAAATTCTAAAAATTGTCGACGTTCTTCACGTTAGTCCTTTCCGTCAAGGAGTCGGAACTCAAACCTTAAGCCGAGTGAAAAATGGCTTAAATTATTATTTTATTTTGAAAAAAAGAGAGAGAGAGAGGGTTGCTCATCCAATTAGAAAGGGGAAAAATTAGCACCAATGATGGCCAATCTATGTAAATGATATATATCTATGGAAGACTCATATTTTTTATGACCAAGACTTTCTCTTCTTTGTTTTCTTTTTTTTGTGCGTTCTTATCCCACTTTTTTTTCCTTTGACAAGTCATGTCCTTTTCATGCCACATGACAACGTTCTTTGAAAAAGAAAAATCGCACCAAAAATCCGCGTTCGTTAGAGTTCTATCATTCTCTCCTGCGTCCATGACAATCTTGACGTGAAAGGAAGTACGTGAAGCGTTCAAATTTCCGTTCTCCGATTGAGTTTTCGTCGAAGAGCAAGATTTGCAAGTGGCCTCTCTCGTAAGAAACCGATTTTGGGGGCAATTGAGGAGAGGGAGAAGGGAAGGGCATCTGAGGAGGGAGAAAAACTGACGGGGAGTCGTGGAACGAGAGATACTTAATCGAGATCTAAATAGAAAATTCTTTAGAGAGGGACGTGTGTAGACACCGAGAGTTTCTGCCGACGTTTTCGACCGCATATTGATCATTTAGGGCCTTCCAACTTTTCTTGGAAGTGTGTATCTCGCTCCCGATGTCATCGATCGTCGCCTTTGGCTTGTTCATTGGCTAAGGAGCAATCGGGGCACGTACGCTTGAGCGAAGTGTCTGCTCGGCGATGGTCGGGGGGAAGATCGGTGTTACTTGGTCTGAAAGGTGCTCCAAGGAGGACAATGATTCGAGGGGAAGGGTGGCAGTGGCTGGGGTCTTGGCTCAGCTAGACCCGACGTCCTATGAGATCCGTCGACGTTGGCTTATTGATATCAAAATCCATTCAAGTTGTGCATGCTATAGCATTCTTTCTTTTCATTTTGTGTGTAGATTTAGTGTGTTTTCGAGATCATCTTCTGATTGATCGTAAGCTGACTTGGTCATTCAGAATGACCAAGCCTCACCGAACTCTTCAGCTTCTTTTCGAAATGTGTTCTGCCAAACTTCTTCCGATGCTCGGTTTTCATTTGACAGACGTATCAGTCCACATGCTCTTCAAAGAGTACTCGAAAGATAGCTGGGTGTAGTATTCTTTGGGAAACATGGAACAAAATGTGAAACAACGTTTCATTTGGTGCGGCAAATTGTTGCAACTAAGTTTTGAGTGCGCGAAGGATGTTGTTTCTTTGTACTGATTCCCACACGCTGCTATTGTGTCTTATCGATACCCAGAATTGTTGATTTGGCCCCCAAGAGATTTCAGAGCAAGAGGAACTCACTTGCGTTTCTCGACGATTTTGATTGTGATCGCGATCCGTGCATTTTCTTGCTTTCAGTCGAATGCCCGTTTGAGAAAAAAGGAAGAAAGCGTCCGGAGAGGAAAGGCCTTGAACTTGAATGCTAATACGGATCCCATGAGGGAAACGACTTCGTGACTGCGAGTTGCCAAATGGGTCAGCAATTGCTCAATGTCCAAGGTATTTAATAGTGGGACTGTGATCAAGCCATGACTAATAGCATCTCTCAAGACGTTTCCAAAAGTTTTCTTTAGATCAAAATCATCATAAATGCATACCCATATTCTGAAATCAAATTGTTCTTGGACTTTTTGGTCGTTGTACACAAACTTAGTAAGCATGGTTTTGCCTAAACATCCCACCCAATTATGAGAGCACATGCAGTCTGAGCTGAGCTGGATCAGCACACTCTCAACGACGCTAAAAAAGGGTCAAGTTGGCCATTTTCTTTTCTCGCCATTTAAATTACAGCGGGGCGTATCAAGAGATCTTTATGATCCGCAAACAATGAATGCTAATTGTCGTCTCGTATTTTGTAGAAGGTCATAATGGCTATACTAAAAATTGTTCCAACTAAAAGGATCGTTTTATTTTATAAGCAATGGACCGAGCATTAAGGTTTTAATATGGTGTGTCTCGACCATTGGTTCA